GTCCATTCCTGTGGACGACTCTACAAACTGTCTTTTTTTCACATGTTATTGTATCTCTACAACTTTAGTAGTTAATTTAGGATTTCCTTTTTTTAGCAATGAAATGTTCTATTTTCTACATTGGCATGTCATTTTGACGTCTTTGAATTTCTCAATAATATTTTGCATTGTGGGAAACAGTGGGAAACATTTTTGAAGACTTGGCACGTCCTTCTCTTGCTTTGTGAGGATTAACTATACCTTATCTCCTCATTACTCTTTTGTTGTTGCCATGACAACTTCTCATGTGACAGTTTTAACTTCATTCAAAGGTTTAGAGCATTACTTACTCAAATCAACAAATTATTGCTCTGTGCTATGTCTAAATCAGGAGATCATTTTAAGGAGGATAATCATTTTAACTTAAATAATCATGTCAAGTGAAATACTACATGCTGTTGTGATGGGAAGCCCTTTGTTAAATAAAATTGCTGCATATAAAAGCACTTGAAAGACGTTTGAAAAGCAATCCATCAATAATATTAGTAACAAAACAATATGAATATTATTAAAGTAGACTTTAATGTAGCTGCATTCAAACCCACAATCAAAGTCATTAGATGTGGTTTGAAAAGACAGGAATGATGATGAATGATGAATACATGACACCGTCATTAGTCAGTCAGTGTGTGGTGGTGATTCTGGCAGGAAACAGAAATTCTCCAGAACTTCTCAGAGATTTTGGACATACGTCAACTCTGATGATCTGACTCGGCTCTTCACTGTATCTCGACATGTGTCACTGCCTTTAAATCACGTGAATCGTTTTCTAAACGCAAACGAACAACTTGCTGAATTTTTCTTTAAAAGTTGAGTGACCGCATATGCTGTAAATTTCGACGGTAGCACAGATGCAGAAGCATCTCCCACGAGTTGTCACGTGGTCAAGAGATTAAATGCAATTAAATGCTGGATTAAAAATAACGTTGTTTTTTAAAAAGCATTTTCATGACAACATTAGTGGCAACTAGTTTCCTAGAGACTCAGAACATCTGTCACACATCCAAGAATGCAACACGTGTCTTCAGAGATTATAATGGACTGTAGGAAAAAACATGTCAAGATATATCGGTTATATTATCTTCAACAATATATAATCTATTATGACGCATAACAGCTCAAAATCCAAAGAATAAACCAGGGAGCGGTCTCCTTCCTCCCTGCGCTCCATCCACGAACGGTTTTTACCTCCGGACTGTTCATCTGCTTCTTGCATCCTCGAATCCACATTGAAGAAGAAAAAAGACGCGCTTTTACATCCGACTCATTGCAGGAAAAAAATCCACAGGTGTCGACGCAAGGTTCGGAACCATAGACCCTTCACCTTGAATTGTAAACTATTTTACCGGTGTGAACCATGAGAGCAGCGCACAACATTTCTGCCACATCCGGGTGTCTGTGCGCACATTCACCGTGGATGTGAGAGGACGCTCCAGACAACAGCAGTCACTCAGATTATTCCTATTTCTAAACTCGCACCGAGGCTGTGGGAAGTGAAGGGGGAGGGAAAACAGGATGGAGCTACAGCTACCTGTGGAGAAGTCTCTCAGAGAGACTTTTTTATATGAGATTTTCAGGAAATTACGCAGATTTGTACGTACGGAGTTTTAAGACCACCGTTAAAAGAAAAAAAAAACAGACATCGAGAATAAAGTCGTAATGTTACGACAATAAAGTTATTATTTAGGAGAAAATACAGGTAAATATAAAATCAAATTGATAAGAGTGCAAAACCGTAAAATAACATTTGAACTGTTGCCTTAAAATAAATAAACAAAACACGATGTAGATTAATACATCGATAATAAAATAAAATATGCTAGCCCCAGTCAAACCATAGACACATGTTTTTTTCCAAAGACAGGAATATGGTGGATTAATTTTGTGATTGATTCAAATACAAATAATTCAAAAGTCAGTTTAAAAGTCAGTTTACTTATTGTTTGATAACTTAATAGATGGTATTTTTTGGACAGAATTAGCCTATTATTGTACGGTAAGAGGTTACTGCAAGTGAGTGATCATTTTGATTACTGCACAACTCACAACTAGCTAAAAACAACTGTATGAATATAAAAAGACAAAATCAATTAAAGAAAAGAGTAAACAAAGTGTTGTTTGATTATTAATCACTTCATATTCACTTCATATTCTAAAATTATGGTTTAAGCAACCATAAAAAATAGTCTTGCACCCATAGCTGTTCTTTTGAGCAAATCTGGGCATTCAATAAATACGACTTTGACACCAATTATTATTTTAACAGTTACATTCATGGTTCAGTTGTAATTGCAAGAAACCAGAATAAGCTGAATAGTTGGCTCTGCTGTGACTTTCTCCTGCCAATGTTGTCTTGACAGGATAAACATCACCTCCCCCATTTAAATCCCCACTGTTAAGACTAAAAAACAATTAATTCAAGGCCCCTAAACTTACCCCTCAGGGGTCTTCCCCTAATGATGCACCGCATTATGTCACCTGACTCCTCTCTGGGACCCCATAGCAGCGTGTCTGTCCTACCTTCACATCAGTTGGAGAGAAAATGAGTTGTCAAGGCTGCACCAGAAGGTTAGCAATGAGAGGATTACCTGTGCCTGAATGAAGGATAAGAGTTCTACAGTAGAACGTAATCCTCCAATGTAATCCCAGTGTTCCCACACTCTACGGACAGGTGATTCAGGTAGTCAACTCGAACAAAAACAAATACCTGCACTATTCACACACACTTCAAATACAAGAAGTTGTTAAACATTTGGACCCATTAGTGGTTTCAGATTGGTTTCAGGCTATGTAAAAATGAATTGTATAGATATAGAACCTACTGAGAATTGTTTTAAAGGACATTTTCTACATATTTTTACTTGAGCACAACTGAAGACATTTGTTTTAAATATGATCAAACATATTATATATTTATCATTATTGTATACATTTATGTAGTAAATGATTCATAATTGATTAATTTTAGCGCCCATACTTGCTTAGGCCTGGTATTATACAGTTTTAATTTACAGACAGTGAATTTTTTTCTTCTCTAAAAGCTATTTTGTCGTTGCATCACACAATATAACTTATTGTGTGATGCAACAACAAAACTGAGTAATACTGATTGTAGAATTATATTATTAGAACCAGAGTGTGTTGCGTAAAGTGGTCGTTTTCGCATTGAAACAATTCTGTATAGCTTAGCTTTTTCCACACGTCATCTCCGGGCAAAGCAGGAAGTTTCAAGTGTCTGCAGAAATCGGGCCGTGCGGGAGCAACAATCGTATCCAAAATGGACACGGTAAATGCAGGACATATGATGAGCTTAGCAGCCCTAAAGAGACAAGACCCGTATATAAACAAACTGCTAGACGTCACAGGCCAGGTGGCGCTCTACAATTTCAATTCAAAATCGAACGAATGGGTGAGTTTGTAAAAAAAGAGACACTAAATAGATTGTGCTCTTAATTGGTATGCTAATGCTAACACTTGGTCACAGACTCAGAAAACAGCAACTAGGAAAACTGCGATATTTGTGACAACAGTGCGACGTATCAATTATTATTTCGGATATTAATTTACTTGTGTGTACCTGGTGGTATCATCACCATTTCATTGTTATAAAACACTGTTATTTCATCCTGTATAATCCAGGGTCAGAGTGGCGACTAATGTTATCGTCAATTAATGTTAATTTTCATTTCAGGAGAAGACGGAAATTGAGGGAACGCTGTTCGTGTACTCCAGGTAAATGCCCTGTTTGGTAATGTAAAATCATCACGACGTCCTACAAAACACATGTTTCAAAGTCACATCACACCATTTCTTAAAAGAAGACAAAGTGGCCGGGTCATAAAAGTAATTGACTCGTTGCTAATTCCTCCTCCTATTAAAACACGGTGCTATTAAAACTTTTGCAAAACCCTTTTAAAAAACTATACAAAACAAGTATTTTATTTTAGGACTTTAATTATAATAATATGCTATTAAAATTATTTATTTATACAAATATTTCTGTGGCTCATAATATTGATAAAAAAGGGGATGGGGGTTATAAAATAAACAAAGTAAAGTAAAAACATTGGAATCTTAAAAGCAAGTGAAAGAAAACTTACATCTTACATGTTTTTCTAAGGTCTGCCTCTCCTCACCATGGCTTTACCATAATGAACCGACTGAGCACTGAGAACCTTGTGGAACCCATCAACAAAGACCTAGAGTTCCAACTACAAGATCCCTTCTTGCTCTATAGAAATGGCAACTGTGAGTATATTCTTTATATTTTGTATAGTAATTGTATTTGTGAAAGAAAATTGTGTTTACATCAGGTTATCACATCAGGGAAATGTCAGAAATTCACATCTACTCTTACTTATTGCATATAATGGTTATATTTCTATATATATTATAAGATTTTAAGACATACATTTTTGTATTGAAATCAAAAAGGTGAAGTTATATTTACTGTCTGATTTTGAAGAGTCATACAGTACCTCTGAAAATGCCAAACAAACACCTCCTCAGTGTCCTCTGGACCATCTCCTGCCCCTTCTGCTTGAAGCCAACTTCATCCCTTGGAGTTGCATCCAGCAGGAAAATTTCTTCTGAAGTGATTTTCTCACTCATTGTCTCAAACAGACTGAAGTGGTTTTAGCTTACTTTGTACATCGCTGCTGCTGCTGGAGCTGCCAGTCAGCACCTGGACACCACTGTCTGTATCCTTGTGGAAAATGTTCTTTAGTGAGTGAGCAGAGAAGACAGTTGAGAGTTCTCAGAATTTGAGAAAATAGCTGACGGCGCTTCCTCCGAGGTAATCCACCAGAAGTCTGAACAAGACTTTCATCAAGGCCACAAATAAGGAACTGGATTGTTTACCCATTTGTTTGCTTATCAGGAAAAATAACATGGCGAGAGTCAGCGTCAGAGGAGACTGTTCCCCTTTTGGACTAGCCTTGCCCACTATTAGCTTAGCTGGTATGGATGGCATGATATTACTTAGTTTCAGCTTAGTATTCAGACCAGAGGCATATCAGTAGACAGAGGACAGTGTCTCTTTCAATATGACGGTGGTTGATTCTTTTTGCTTGCGTAGATCTCTTACCCAGGATTCAGTCATGCAACTTGCTGATGGTCCTCTGGTAGTTGTTCAAACCGGCTTCAGTCCAACCGACAAAAAAGAGATAACAACAAGTGGATTAATAGGCTGGATGTAGAATCTTCAAGATGTTTTTCTGCATCCTGCTGGACCTGCTGCGTGATGCTGACAGGGTGACTTTAAACCAGAGAATACAATATAAATCTGCCAAACACACACACACAAACACCTGTTTACACCACTCTGTAATTCCCTCAGTAGCAGCGGTGGCTGCAAGGAGGCAAACAAGCTGGTTGCCTGGTTACCAAAAACTCTAAAGGGACTTTAAATACGCCAGTGCTACACATGACACACAAGCAGTACAAATATAACATACTAACAAGCTACAAATGCTGACGTATAATTTTTTTGATAGCAAATAGTTGCGTGTTGTTTAACATTTAACATGATTAGAGAAAATACCTAATTTCATTTTGTTTTACCTAAACTTAACATATAGCTGTGCTAAAGAAACAAAGTTGTGCTTAGACTCTTGGGTGAACAATACAGTTACCATAGAGTAACTCAACAGCAGGTAATAGTATTTTATATGTGCATCTCTGGGACTTTCATTGTATATTAAATATCCATTCATGAATTGTTAGTGTTATGACTGCAACTACAATTAAGACAAAACAATACCATTGTGCAAGATACAAACTAGACCATTGAGTTGGTTGTGTTAAAATTTGTTGGGTTTTTTATACAAATTGTTGTTATTTTCCTTGCAGTGGGCATCTATAGCATTTGGTTTTATGATAAGATGGACTGTCATCGTATCGCCCAGCTGATGGTCAAGTAAGCAGACTAATGTTTGTGGTTCTAAATGGGAAAAACATTTTGCAGTCAATAAGGGTATTTAGGCCCTAATTGGACAACAAGTAACCTTTGGGTGTTCAGTTCATGTGTGAAGCATTCACTCTCCCCCAGGATTGTAAAACAAGAAACAGACCATGCCAAGAGAGACTCACCCGAGAGGAGAGAGTCGGGAAGAACCAATGGCGTTGCAGAGCCCCGGCCCATTGACATCCTAGAATTGCTCAGTAAAGCCAAGGAGGAGTATCAGAGGGTGAGGAGACGAATATGGTCCTGCTGGTATAAACATGTTTTACTTATTTTACTTACTAACTAAAGAATAAGAACTGTATCTCTCACTTTCTCTCATGGTAGACTCAAACAGATGTTCCTACAGACTCTCAAGTTAAAACAGCCATCAGCACTGCAGCTCGACTTCATGGTACAGCACAGTCTGAAAAGGTGAAGACTCTTCACAAAGCAAACACGAAATACACAATATATATATCAAACCCTGCAGTCCCTTGTTTATTTTTTCTTTTTTTTTCTTTTTATGTATAACCACTCATAGATATTTGGTGATAGTTTGTGCCACAATTTGTAGCTGATTATTAGTTGGAGGATGTAATAATAATAATGCTTTTTTATCAAACATTGATTAAAATCAATGACTTTAAAAAATCAACTCGAGGATGTAATAATAATAATGCTTTTTTTTATCAAACGATCAAACACTTTAAAATATCAACTCAAAAGAAAAGAAAATGCAGTAATTATAGTATTTAAATACAAGAGGCTGGAATATTTACTTACAGTATATATTTGAGAAAGAAACACCACACAGCAAGCAATCAGTGTTGTCGATGTGTTCTTCCGTTATACAGGATTTAAGTTTTATGTTTTTCCATCTACCAGAGCTCTCGTACAGTAGTAAAGCAGATCACAGTGGAGGAACTGTTTGGCTCCTCGCTGCCTAAGGACCCCTCCTTACCTGCCATGCCTGCACAGAATGCCCCCAGTTCTTCCAGTGGCCCGTCTACTACCTTGACTCAGATTCAGTCTTACCCCACTTCAAACCATCAAATCCCTGCATCCAACCAGCAACACCAGGTCCCGGGCCTGCTTCCGGCTCCTTATGCACTTCATCCCAGCCCTGTTTTCCAGTCTGTCGTTCCACTGTCAGAACCACAGATCCGGGGCTCAGTTTCACCTTTCGTGGTGCCTCCTCCTGAGACTCATGCTGCTCCTCCTCCTCCCGCATCAACATCGACTTCTGGAACTAATTTGGGACAAGAAATACTGAGCTCACTAAAACCAGCAGTGGTGCCATCTGTGAATTCTGACATCCACAAACAAATTCTTGCACCCAGCTTCTTGCCCAGCACGCTGGTGCCACCACAAAGCTTCCAAGAGCTTAAAGTAAATCTTCATCAGAGCAAAGACATAGATGTTTTCTCTCAAACTCCGAACCTGATTAAACCACTCTCTGTGAGTTGACTTTCTATTTTGCTGTATTGTTAGTGTTTACCGATCTGAACTAGATCCGTCTCACCACATCTATGTCTTTTCGTTCTTTTCAGGCTGTGTCCATGAGTCCAGGGTTTGCTGTTCCAGGACCACCAATGTCGCTGCTTCTCTCTCCCAGCGCTTTTCAGCAGTCAACCAGTAAGGCGACCACAACGACAACAGGAGCACTGGCAGCATCAGTGGCGTTACCTGCTCTGTCTGAGCCTTCACCATGTACTGTTGGAGGGGTGGAGCCTCCGCCAGCTCTATGCAGCAGAACACAGCTTCAGGAGACACTGATCCACCTCATCAAGGTAAACGACATATAAACAGCAGCCAAAGATTCTTTATCAACCAGTTTTTTTTTACAACACTAAAGACTCCAGAAGTCCATGCTAAATGTTTTAACCTCAAAAGAGAGAAGTCCCAGCTGATCTGATTTATTTACTGCCCCCATCTCTCTTTGTGTAGAATGACCCAGATTTCCTCAGTGCCATCTATGATGCCTACCTGCAGACTGTGTCCAAGGACTTCAGCAGCATGAAGCTATAGTCCCACTTCAACCATCATGGTTTCACCCTCATCTGTGTGACCTGTGAGGAGTTAACGACGAGCAGTGAACAGGTGTTTGATTTGACTGCAGCCCTCAGTACTAGTCTGTCTATACAGCATGTTTTCTGGTCCTGGCTCAGACCTGCGTGTGTGGGGCTCCACTGAACACTGATGCCTTTTTGGTCAAATTGGATAAAATCACTAAGATTCCAGAACCACTGTGTTTGGGAGCTTTGAGGGGGAAAAATCTCACTGTGGCCTTGATTTATTTTGACTTTCTAACTGTTATTAAACTTGTGGCCACATGGTGGTGAATTTTAGCTGTTCTAGGTCTAAAAGGGACTGGGCAGGAGCTTCAGTGACCTCAAGGTCACTTCACGTGGGCTGAATCTTTAAGTTTCAAACTGCAGAGTCTCACAGCACAGGTGTATAGAAACACTTGCGCTGTTTCAAGACAATGTTGGGAATTAAAAACTTTGTTTTTCGAGTCTTTGCAGTCAAACTCCACTTGGTGGTGTTAAAAAAGGACTACTTGTCTTTTTCTGGCTGAACCTTAAACTTTAAATCTGAGCTGGACTCTTTACACAAAGAAATGCATCAAAAGCTCTTGTTGAATTTTTTCCTTTTCCTTTCTACTATTAAGGAGACAGGTGGAAGATGAAAAGTTTACACAAAGAAATGCATCAAAAGCTCTTTTTTTTTCCTTTCTACTGTTAAGGAGACAGGTGGAAGGAAAAGTAAGCTTGTAGTATATGTTTAAAACAGCACTTGATGCTGTGAGGATAAAGTTTGTTTTTCTCCCAGCAGATTATTTTCTTTTGCAACTATACAGATGTTAAGATGTTGATAAAAAACAACGCACAACCTAATATATATATACAAATAATATACATTTCCTTTTATAACACATCTCTCTGCACTCCCTCCTGAACTTGTCAACTTGATGTTGCTGAGAAAGAATGTACAATGAGTGTCCACTGTCACAATGCCTTCAGGGACTCCAGCCTCTCGTGGGTATTTCATGATGGAAAAACAGAGTTTTGGAGCCTGACAGCCTTGAAAATATAACTACACAAAACAAGTCCACATCAAACATGACTCGAGGCCTTGTCTGAAATAACACACAACAACCTCCAGATAGAAAGTCTACCATGATGGATTTTACTGTTGCCCTCAATGTGGGCTACGCAATAACATGATTGAGAAAATGGCCACTTAGATGCAGCTCTGTGATTGGCTTTCATAACTATAACACAGTGACCAACACAACTGATACAAACAAACAACAAATGTGGCTAAAAAGTTTGAATGTCACGTCTGAATCATAAATTACACCAGAGGTCGCTGTTGAGCTCCCTCTATTCTTACACCAGTAACGTCAACCAATGATAATTAATATTAAGCTACCTCCTCTTCCTTTTTTCAGTTTGTTTTTCGAAGAAACAACAAAATCACACAAAAAAAAGTTAAAAATATGTGAAGTGATTGGTTGTTGTTTTTTGTTTGTTTGTTTTTAGTTGCAGTAAAATGCTACTGCAGAACCAGAACTTAAATCCAGGCTAACCTCAGTAGGACAAACATGTAGAGCATGTATACATATGTGCACAACAACAGTGTTAAATGGTGTAACAACATGCAAGTTAAGCTGTATCGCTTTTTAACAAATGGTACCGCTACAGTATATGAACGGCAGCTGACTGAACCGCCCACATCACATTAGATTTCAGTTATGTCAGGTGTGACGTTACCATTTTTATTAACCACGTCAGGAGCAGAATTTTTTTTATTTATTCAGTTGGCCCTAAAAAATGTGCAATTTAAAATATTTTGGAAAGAATGAAATTAGGCAAACTTTGTAACTTGGTTTGATGCAGTATTTCAAATGAATTTTGTTAGTTACATGCCAGTCCCGTCATTCCTTCTTATTATTTACCTGTTAACAATTCACTTCAGCTAAAAGTATTTTTGTTTTTGTCCCCACCTTTAGCACTTACTCACACACACAAGAATCAATAAAATCTTAAGATTGGTTTTAATTGTGGTCATATATTTAAGATTTTTAGATTATTTTACCTTTTACGGTGTAATTAATATGAATTGGCCAGAGATTTAATTTTGCAACATTTGTTCCATATTGAATTTATTTTGAATACTTGATGTCACTTTGTATAATTTGGATTGCTATAATTATTTTGTTATAATAAAGTTTTGAAAATACATGTTTCTGTCCTTTGCTTGGGTTAACTGAATACAGTATAAGCAACAAAGATATTCTGAGGGCCCGACACCAGTAACAGCTCCAAACAGTTACAAGGCATTTGAATGAACTACAAAGCGAGACCACCTTGGACGTTAGCTAGATGTCATTGCAAAGATTTCCCGAAGGGAATAATAAAGTTCTATCTATCTAGAAACCAAACACTTTTTACTTTAAGGTCTGTTCTGGCCTAAAATCCACATTTTTATCTACATTTCATCCAATCTGTCTGTGCACTATTCACAAACACAAACTTACCAACTAATAGATTAAAAAATCCTTCTTTACTACAATGGTTTTGTGCAATTCCAACATTTAACCACTAAATGTCAGTAACTTCATTTTTACCGACCAGAACCCACACGTTACGGACATGGATGTTGAGTCGTAATAATTGCCGTGCACGTACAAAAGTGAAGCGTAAGCTGACTTAGCTAATCGATTGTCTGTTTTCTGATTAACCTTGTTTGTAGAGGGTCAGTTGTTTGTTTTCCGTTTTCTGTCTTCAGCTTACTAGAGTGACCGTTAGGTTCTTTCACTTGGACTTCTGGACTTGTAATGGCATATAAATGACCATTACTTATATAAGTGAGCGCAGATATAATGTGTTACTGTTACTGTGATCGTCCTTGTTACACTGTTCCTACAGAAGCCCAACAGACACTGCTGAACAGATGTGAAAGCTATGACTTCAAGGTGATGATGTTGTTTACAAGAAAAATCCATTAGTATAAAGGCAACAAATCTCTCTCTCTCTCTCCCTCCCTCCCTCCCCATTTTAATACAGCTGATATAACACTTTTCTCATATTAGAATTTTCACAATAGACAGTTAAGAATAGAATTTAGTTAAAAACGTACTCCAAGGATAATGGGAGAACAAACGGAACATTTAAAAATATAATATATATATAGAATAGAATTTAGTTAAAAACGTACTCGGAACATTTAAAAAAAAATATATCTGAATTAGCAACAATAAAGTACAAGTACCCTCTGTAACCTCAGAGTTTTTTCTAAAAACAAGCAGAGATGTGTCTTAATCAGTCTGTCTTATGTTTGTCAGTGAAAACACATCAACTCTTTGAAGGGTTTAAGTGAATAACCAATCTACACACGGAGGTAGAAACCTCAACTTATTTAACTCCGAGTGAAATTTAAGTGTCTTTATCCTTCCTCTACACCCAGCGCCTTTTCCCATTGGCTGAGCTCCAGCCACACAGTTTGCTTTAACTGGAGGCTCATTTTAACCCTAGATTATCCACATTAGGTTTAGCCTTCAAACACGCCTCCTCCCCCTCCTCCACAACCACATCTCCCTCCTCCTCCTGCTGCACCTCCTCACGTCCATCGGCACTGCCCCCTTTTAACTATTGCCAGCATCCTCGTCCTTCTTCATTCTGTGGACTTTTAACTCTTCACTCCATTCATTCATCAAGTGCGTGGTGTGAGTGTGTGTTTATTCGGCCAGATGGAGGACTACCACAAACCGGACCAGCAGACACTGCAGGCTCTCAGGAACATTGCCAACCGGCTCCGCATCAACTCCATCAAGGCGACAACTGCAGCTGGCAGCGGGTAAGGAGAACAGGGACAGAGTCAGAGAGTGAACCGAGCTGCAGGTGTGGAGTAGTTGGAAAGAACAGATGGGTCGTGGTCGGGTTCAGTTACTGTACTGTGTATGTGTCCAGTACGTGTTGAGTGACAAGGCAGAACTGTTCAGAACAAGCGCCTAAATAAAAACACATGGAATTTCTCTCTCCAATAACAGGTCGGCTGAAAACAATGTGCGAATGGTGTTATTTCAGTCAAACTATTTATTTACTTTTTTCTCACACACTAGTACGTACCAGTTTAGGCGTAAATACTTTCAATTTGTTTAATACAGACACGCGCCAACTTTGTGCGCAGTTTAGTTGTCATGCAGATTTTCTTTCACGTGCATGTTACGTTTGGAACAATATTTATAAATTATCACCTGTGTTCAGAGAATAACAGTTCAGTCAGGAACGTTTGCAGGTGCACTCCCGCTCCCGCTCCTACTGCGCACGCTCCGACAGCTTATATAACCATATGAGCAGCCGACGGAGCTGTGCGTGATTCCGCTCGTGTTCAGCCTGTGATGGGACCCACGGGCTGTCGTGGTGAGAGCAGGCAGGGGAAAAGACCCACAAAACGCACGACTGCGCTTCTGCCGCGCCTGCGTGAGCCGCTGGGATTGCGTGTTGTCACACCATAACCAAGCAGCCTGGAACAAAGAAGCAAAACTACATCCGGCGTGTATCTTCAAAATAAAACACTACCACGTTCTCATTCTTGAGAAAGAAATTAGAAAATTAAAATCCTGTTTTGTTTTTTTTTTTACGTTAAAATTTGGTAAAAAATCTGATAATAAGCTCTATGGAAGTAAGCCCAAATGTAGCTCTAACTGTAGATGGTGCTAATGAGTACAGTTTACAACATTATTGTTTTCTGTAATTATAATTCAGGTTTTTTTAAAAAGATCCTCCGCAAGAATACAGTACTAATAAGCGCAATTTAAAAAACAGTTGCTGACCAGAAACTGAATGTGTGGCCTTTTTTTAATTATCACTTGTTGATCATTCTAAATAAATAATTTTCCACCCAGGAAGAAAGCATCCTTAATGAAGAAGGCTTAAGTGAGATATTACTGGTATGTGTTTTGATTGTAAAAGCAATAATGTGGAAAAAAAAACAAAACTGATTGGTTGGACTTTGACATGTTCTAACACTTGGAATAATGTTTTTTTTCTACTACATTAACATGTTCAAGTACATTGCTACAGTGACGTGTGTCGAGAAGAAAGAGAAATCTTAAATGACCTTTGATACAGCATGAGTTAATCCCCCAGATTAATCTCAAATTGCGTTGCATCTTCCCTCTGTCTATTCCTGTCTCTTTGGCATCTAAGGTGTGGTTTGATCTGAACTCGTTCTTGTTGTGTGTACCTTATCTCTCACGGCCGTCCCACCTCCCTCTGCTTGCAGACACCCTACATCATGTGCCAGTGTGGCAGACATCATGTCGGTGCTTTTCTTTCATACCATGAGGTACCGACCCGAAGACCCACGTAACGCCAACAATGACCGCTTCATCCTCTCTAAGGTGACGCATATGTGTGGTTCAAAATGTGAAGAAAATGTATTAAAATAAGGTTAAAAGATACATGTTTTAATGGTATGTTGTTATAAAATGGTTCCACGTTAACAACAGAATCAGATCATAATTCTGAACTATTCTGCAGAAGTCACAAGAGACTTATTGTTTAAACCATTATATTATATCATCAATACTACTAATAATATACAGTATTACTGTAATACCAGAGCTGGGGTCACTCTAACCACAGATGTTAAACCTCTGCAGGGTCACGCTGCTCCTGTGTTGTATGCTGTCTGGGCAGAAACAGGCTACCTGAAGGAGAATGAGCTCCTGAACCTGCGGAAAGTGGACTCTATTCTGGAGGGACACCCCGTGCCGGTGAGGTCACAGACAGGTCTATGAAAAGGTTCTGATGAAGGAGTGTGAGTGATGAAAATCTTTGGCTAAATCGTGTGTGTGTGTGTGATCTAACAGAAGCAGCAGTTTGTGGATGTGGCCACTGGTTCTCTAGGGCAGGGACTGGGAGCTGCCTGTGGAATGGCCTACACTGGGAAGTACTTTGACAAGGCCAGGTAACACACACACACACACACACACACACACACACACACACAGACAGACACACACACACAGACAACTGCTACTGTACAATCATTCAAAAATGCACAGTGCGAAGAGGAAACAAACCCTTTGGCCATTGACACATGCAGCTGCACGGCTCACAGATGGATAGTAGACCTCATTTTGCATGTTACAGAGGAAACAGTACTGTAACAGTCAGGGGATGGTGTACATGTTGTCCAAGATAACCATCCTGTCTCTCTCTCACTCTCTCTCTCTCTCTCTCTCTGCTGCCTATGTGCACTCGATTGTTTCTGCTCTAATAATCACACATGCACAGTGCAGCCCCTCCCTCATCTGTGCCTCGCCCTCTCAACTCATCTATCCTTCCAAAGGAACGTGCAGAATTACGTATGCCAGCCTGTTCAGGATCTCCTTTGTTCTATCCGATTTGTGCACAAACC